TTTTATATTTTCAACCTTTTTATATTTTCATAATTCATACATAATAATAGAATATACATATTAAATAACACTATAAGAGAATGATCTCATATTGTTTATAGCCGAGAGGTGGTGTTGCATGTTTTTTATCCCAGTACTTGGGAAACTGAGGTACAGGGATTGTTTTGAATTTGAATTTGAAGTCAACCTGGCTTACAGAGCTAGTTCCAGGACAGTCAGCGATACACAGAGAAACCGTGTCTCAATAAAAATAATTTCAGGGTACAGGGCCATCTACATTCTCTGAACACATTTTTTAAAAAGATTGTGACATCTTCCTCCTTGTGCAAGGCACACTCTGATCACACTACTGTCAGCATGACGCCCTCTGTACACTCAAGGCTGCCTCACTCAGGTCTGATTTTCTCCCCTGTTTTGTTCATGTCATTTTTTTCTTCTAATTTTCATATGCAATACTTGCCATTCTTAGTCTCATTTGTTTCACTATTACAGGAACTCCATTTCCATTGTATGTGTGCAAATATAGTAATTATGTTTTAAGGGTGAATGATTTCAATTATTTGTATATTACATATTTTACCTTTTCATTAAATTCATTGACGAATTCTTGGGCTGATTTTGCAAACTGACTAAAGTAATAGTCCCTTGTTGGCCATGGTGACAGATATTTCTCCGTTGTATATTGACTTTGTTTTCTTTTTTTTATTAATTTATAAAAGCTTCCACTTCTGCCCCTCCTCCCAATACCCTCCCTCTCCCCTCACTCCCTCTCCTCCTCCCTCTCCAGCCCTAAGAGCAGTCAGGGTTTCCTGCCCCGTGGGAAGTTCAAGTTCCTTCCCCCTCCCTCCAGGTCTAGGAAGGTGAGTATCCAAACAGACTAGGATCCCAAAAATCCAGTACATGCAGAGGAAACAAGTCCCAATGCCATTATCAATGGCTTCTCAGACAGTCCCCGTGCCAGCCACATTCAGAGAATCCGGCCACATTCAGAGAATCCGGTTTGATCACGTGCTCGTTCAGTCCCAGTCCAGCAGGCCTTGGTGAACTCTTATTAGATCAGTCCCCTTGTATCAGTGGGTGAACACATTCCTCACGGTCCTGCCTTCTTTGTTCATGTTCTCCCTCCTTCTGCTCCTCATTTGGACCTTGGGGGCTCAGTCCAGTGCTCCAATGTGGGTCTCTGTCTCAATCTCCATCCATCGTCGGGTGAGGGTTCCCTCTGATCCTGCCTTCCTTGCTCACATTCTCCCTTCTTCTGCTTCTCATTTGGACCTAGGGAGTTAAGTCCAGTGTTCCAATGTGGGTCTCTGTCTCTATCTCCATCCATCGCCAGATGAAGGTTCTAAGGTGATATGCAAAATATTCATCAGTATGGTTATGGGCCAAGGCCAGTTCAGGCACCCTCTCCTCTGCTGTCCAGAGTACAATCTGGGGATCTCTCCTTGGACCTGGGAACCCCTCTAGAATCAAGTCTCTTGTAAACTCTAAAATGGCTCCATTATTTGAGATATATACTTCCCTGCTCCCATATCCATCCTTCCTTCCTCCCCACCATCCAAATCCCCCAAGCTTTCCCCAATCCTCCCCTACTCCCTTCTCTCTAACCCTCTCCCCTTCCATCCACCCCGCCCCCGTGCACCCAAGGTTGCCTGGCACTCTTACCTACTTCCAATATCCAGGAGGAACAAACAGAGGTGTAATGTACCTGGATCATGTGGTAGTTGTATTTTTAGCTCTTTGAGGAAACTCCAAACTGATTTTCATAGGTATTATGCCAATTTACACATTCTCATCAACACTTAAAAGAGTTCCTTTATTTTCTCCCTATATCCTAAGCATTTACAGTTTGTTTCCTTGATGGCAGCCTTCTTGTCTGGGGTAGATGGAATTTCATAAGTAGTTCTGGTTTGCATTTCCCTGATGACTACTTATACTATTAGTGTTTTAATGGATTTACTGGATGCTTATACTATTTTTTGAGATATTCAGACCATTGCATCCCCTGCCCACCCATGGATTGGTTTGCTTTCAATTTTGTTGTTAACTTTCAAACTCATTATGTATTCTGCATATGAATCCCCAGAATGAATAGCTTCAAATGGGTTTTCTTCTGTTTTTCCATTTTTTGACTTTTACTTGGTTTATTGTTTCTTATTTGCAAAGAAGATATTTAATTTGATGAAATTGCTTCTGTCATTTCTTGCTGTTATTTTGTGAGCTATTGAAGAGCTTTTTGAAAATCTATAGCTTGTGCCCATGTTCTGAAATGTTTTCTTCAATCTTCTTCAAAGTTACAGATTTTATATAATGCTCTATTTTAATTATTTTTATTCATCATCATTATTATTATTTGAATTTTTTGTCCTTTTGTTCAACAAAAGATCTCATTACTGGAATTTATTATGTATGTAGTTGAGGCTGGCCTCAATATCACAAAGATTTCCTTGAGTCCATCTCATGAATGTGGGGATTAAAGGCTTGTTTTACTATGCCTGGTAACAATTTCATATATTTATATAAAATATTTTTGTCATATCTCATTATCATTCTTTTGAATTTCCCTTCCACTGAACCCTTTTCTCCCCCACAGTCTCCCTCCTATATTCAGTGTGTGTGTGTGTGTGTGTGTGTGTGTGTGTGTGTGCAACCCACTGAGTGTAATAAAGCGGTCAGTTATGGGCAAGATAACTCTGGTTACACTAGCGAAAAACTCACCTTTTCTCCCCCAGCAGTCATTTTTTGCAATGTTTCTTCAAGAAGGAATGGGGTCTCAGAAACTCTCCCTGTCTGCAATGGAATGTTAACAGTGTCTATGTCCCCCACAAAGCTGTGTTCCACAGCGCTCCTCCCCATCCTCTGGCTCTTAGATTGTTTCTGTCCTCTGTTGCAGGATGTATTCTGAGCCTTGGAGGGGGTAATGTGGATATACTGTTTGATTACTTTGAGCACTTTAAACAGCCATGTTTTTCTGCCATCGTCATCATCACCCACCGCAAGCAGAAGCTTCTCTGACCAAAGACGGGAACAACACTGACTTATGGGAGCATTTTAAGTGGTAGCTCTGCTTTCACTGAGTCAGAACTCTTACCATGAAACAGCACATCTAGGTGCCCAAGAGAGAAGTCAAGAGTTCAGAGTCCCTTTAAGTGTACAATTTACAGGGTAGCTCAAGTACCCAGCATCACCACACCTTTAATCCCAGGACTTGGGAGGCAGAGGCAAGAGGTTCTCTGTGAGTTCAAGGCCAGAGTGGCTTATGGAGAGAACTCCAGGACAATCTGGGTTACATAGAGAGACTCTCTTTATGTTTCTTTGTTTTATAAAGAGAATAACTCAACTAACTACCGAGTCATTTTGCGTGAAGGGAATTTGTGGAAAGGAGCAGCTCAGAGATTAGGAGAGCAGGCACTGGTGCTGTGATGGGAAGGAATGCCATTTCTCGACAGATAACTGGTTGATGAATCATGGAATTTTAGAGGTCAGGGAGCCACAGTTAGACAGTTCTTTGTGAAGTACAGCATAGCAGAGGGACATTGTTACTTCATTGCTTGCGTTATTTTTTTCCTGATGGCATGAGCTATCTCCAAACACTGTAATATTGTTTGTATAATGTATCAGAAAAAGAAGAGACCAAAAGGTCTTGACATGTGTGTGGAGAAATTTGGACTCTTGAAACTTTAAAAAATAAAAATGACGTATTTATTATATTTTATGTATATGAGTGTTTTGCCTGCATGTATGTATATACACCACATGCACAGGAATGTAAGAAGAGGGCACTGGATGCCTTGGAACTAGAATTGCAGATGGTTGTGAGTTGCTATGTGGATGCTCGAAATGAACTGAGGTTTCTTCTCAAGAGCAATTTGTGCTCTTAACGGTGGTGCCATCCCTCTAGGTCCAAATCTGGGAATCTCGCACAGTAGTAAGAATATGAAGAAAAACAGGTGTGCAGAAATTTACAAAGACGCTTCAAAAAATAAAATTAAAGATACTTTATGACTCAATAGCCATATTTCAGGGGAGTTATTCAACTTAATTCAAACCAGAATGTTTTTTAATTCAAAATTTTATTTTTGATCATGTTCATTTATTGAATGCAGTGAGGGAATCTATAAAGTCCTTTAAGTATGTCACAGACTCGTGTACTTTGATGATATTTGTTCTTCCTTAGCCCCTCCCTTGACTAGTTGCCCCTTCTCATAGATCTTTTATAGGATTTGAAGTTCTGTGTAAAATCTTGGGTTTACAAATGAGAGCACTTGGTTGATTTTTTTTTAATATAGTTCATTTTATTCAATATAATAATCTCATATGCAGCTCTTTTCTGACAAATGATGTGGTAGAAATCAGAATCCTAAATTGCTGCTGACACTTCCAAGTTTATGTCAATTCCATTAACAATTGATAAGATGTAACTGAATCTTAGATGTTCTTTGAAAAGGAAATGGATAAAGAAAATAAGACAGAAAATCCATTCCTATATATAATCCCAACAAAATGATATGTGTAAAAATCAAACAGCAAAGGAGAGATCTTTGGGTTCTGGAAGTTGAGGTTGGAGGAACCAGGAAGATGGTAATCATAGGGTATTAAATTTCAATTATTCCAGATAGAAACCTTCCATGAATTTACTGTTCAATACCATGCTTCATGTCACTGATGCAGGGAGGCCATGTTGAGCATATAAAAATCTATAGGTTATGTGAATTTTTCATTAAATGATTCATCAACATGAAATGACAGACACTATGGAATGATGCTAGCACAGAGTTTATTAAAACTGCTTGCTTCCAGGGACATATCTCATAAGTGAACAGAAAGAAGAGAATAGCACATAAGAATCTGGGACTGACTCAGAAGAAAATACAGTTGAGAAGATAATGAGTTAATACAAGGTTCATTTTGGGGTAGAGTTATTAGGTTATTAGGTTATTTGGTGAGAGGTATAAAGATCCTAGCTCAGATTTTAAACTAATAATAGACCTTCACTTTAGTACCCCATTAAGATAGCAGAAAATCCATAGTCTCTGGAGATAAGGAGAGAGACAGTCCGAGGGACACCATCCTTCCTCAAAGTATTGGCCACACTTGAGTTGGAATTTACATTCCTCAGGTTCCCTGGTGAGAACATGAAGGGGGTCTGCAAATGTTAATATGTGACTCTTGCATCTAGAGCATGTCAACTCTCCCCAGAGCATGGCTGTGCAGATGTTTCTTAGCAGAGCTGCTCAGCAGCAGCAGGGCTGGCAGCAGGGTGTGCTGCAGCAGAAGTTCACACAGGTTGGCTTGCAATAGGTGGTCTTGCAGCAGGTGTTTTCACAGCAGGTGGGCTGGCAGCAGGTGATAATGCAGCAGCAGGGCTGGCAGCAAATGGGGGCACAGCAGCAGGGCTGGCAGCAGGTGGGTACACAGCAGCAGGGTTGGCAGCAGCAGGGCTGGCAGCATGGTATGCTGCAGCAACTTGGGGGACAGCAAGGTTGGCAGCAGATGGATTCAGGGCAGCTGGATTCACAGCAGCAGGGCTGGCAGCAGGTAGTCTTGCAGCAGGTGGTCTTGCAGCAGCATGGCTGACAGCAAGGTGGGCAGCAACAGAGGGCCATGGTTGCGGGTGCGGAGGGTTTTACTCTGTTCACAGGTGAATTTTCAACTGTGTAGTAAGTTTTTCTAGTCAGGGCCTTTTATACCATGGACCTCCAATGTTTGGACCAATCAAAAAGACTCTTCTTTGTTCACCATTTCCATATTTAATTTGTGTTCATGAAGAAGGAAATTCTCACCTCATGCTCTGAGTCATTGGGAAGCATCCTTTTCTTCTCCGGGGATGCTTACCTGAACTCTTTCCAGTAGCTCAGGCGCTCATCCCGTCAGCTTTGTTGCAGCTCTAGTGGTCATCTGGGCTTTGGTGGCTCCTGCTCTATGGGAAGGTCAGGATTCCTTCGTTCTTACAACTTTCTTCTGCCACCTGTGCTTAGATTCATAAATGTCTCTGGGCCTGAGTGTGCTGTATTCACTATGATGGACTCAACACCTAGTTCCCTGTCTGTTTGCCTACAAAGCCCAATTCCAAACTGTCCCACGTAGGTGCCAATATCTGTATAATTTGCTAGACCTTGTATTGGGGGGCTCATTAAAAGTTGTTTCAGGTAAGGGTGTCTGGAATGATGTGTTTCATAGCAGAGTGGAACCAGCATTGATTGGTATAAAAGGAAACCCCAGCATATTAAGAATAAGGAGGCATCAGAGGATATGTGAGTGGCCATAATTCCTGACTGTCTACTCCTAGGAGCTCATGGGGAAGAAGTCCTTAGATTCAGACAAAAGAGTGTGAGCGGGTGACTCCAGTGCACACCTGGCTGTCAGCAGGGGCGGTGACCTTAGACTGGTGATCTCCTGATTCCCTCAGTTTGCTTTGCTCTCTAATTTTATCCCCATCCCTCACTGTCTGGTCTTTCTCCTTCATTGCCTTATCTACTCTACCTCTTTTCTTTCCGTTCAGTGAAAGAATCATGATTATTTGAGACATACATAATTTATGACCTAATTTATCTGTGGGGAATAAGAAACACACCCCTCCCTATTTATCTACACTAAAAATACATAATTATTCATGTATTAAATAATATGTTAATTTTCCATTCGAGATAATAAAGGGTGAACACAGCCATACCACTATTTAAAAACTGGAATTTAACTTTAGTTTTTGCAAACCATTTCATGTCGCTCATCCTCAAAAGCTGGTTCTCACTGTCTTAAAGAGTCAGTCTTCCAACCTTGGCATCACTTTGAACGTCTTTGTGTCCTTGATCCTAAGATGACTGTGACAACCCTCACTATCCAGAACCCAGTTCATTCTTATGTTTGCGTAATATTCCACACGATGAATTTGACACTGCTCACTGATTGCTCCTAGAAACAGAAAATTGTTTATAGTTTGGGACTATTCAAAACAGCGCTGCTAGAAATGTGTCTTTTTAAAACACCATGGCTATAAGTACACATCCGGGTACCTGGAGGTATGCTTAACATGCAGCGTTGGTACTTCACTTTGCAGGAGCTAAGTGCTTCGTTTACTACATTTATTCTTGGATAGTATCTTTTTTGTTGGACCATATGTGTTCTTTTTTGTTTCTTTTCTTGAGACAGGGTTTCTCTGTAGTCCTGGTTGCTCTAGAACTCACTGTGTAAAACAGGCTGGTCCTGAACTCATAGAGATTCACTTGCCTTGCCTCGCCAGTGCTGAGATTAAAGGTGTGTACCATCACCCTCTGGCTGCATTTTATGTGTTTTTAATTTAAAACTTATATTTCTGCGTCTTATGACATACAGAAATTGATCAGTTTGTTTAGCATGTGCTGATTTTCCACAGCTGCGCATTTGATCACAACGTTGTCCTGAATGCACGTAACACGGTTGATCGAATTCCCTCACTGTCACCCTCTCTGGTGTCCCCTGTGGCCTCCTCCTGATTCTCTTTCTCGTTCCAAATTGCCTATTGCTCCTTTTGTGTCCCTACCCCTCCTGAGATGACGGAAACTTTACTTTTTCTTTGGAGTTCTACTTACTTCACTTATCAAGTTGACCCCCAAATTTCATGTTTTCTGGAAAACAGCATTATTTATTCTTCCTCATATGCACCATATCTTATTCATTCATCCGTCCACTGACAGACAGGCAAACTGGTTCTTTCTTGTATGTACTGTGGAGTAGTCATGTGGTGGTTATAACTTTAATTTTTTTTAAAATCCTACAAACTAATTTCCATACAGACTGTGCTAATTTCCATAACCATTAACAATGTGTAAAGGTTTCCTTTCCCCCTGGGATCCTCACCAGCACTTGTTATTGTTGGTTTTCTTGATGACAGACTTTCCTGAGGGTAGAGAGGTAAATTTTCAAGGATGTTTTGATTTGTATTTCCTGGTGGTAAATGATATTAAACATTTTTTCTCATGTATTCTTTTATTCATCAGTACTTTTGGTTTTTTAAAAAAATCTTCAAATAATTTGATGCTTTAGTGATTATATGACCTTTTCTTTTTATTTCAGATTTTATATTCTCGTATATATGTATATGAATCCACTTTGGATAACTAGTTGGCATCCTTCCTACTCAGATTGTCACCTGTCCATGTGGCCCGATCCTTGTTATTGGTTTTTTACACAGATGTTCTTTGCCTGCACTTAAAAAGGTTATTTAAAAGGTTCTTGGGGGATATACATAATGCTATATCACCCATAGTGATGAACTAAATAGTTGGCTTCTAGCCTGAATCTCCTTTGCATTAACAATGGTATTCACAGCATACAGAAGGGAATCCCACATTAGTTCAGGTGTTGTCTCCATAAGAGCCTATTCATCCTTGTCTCTGTGTGAAGATAAGTTTATGCTTTGGCAGAGGTAAGGAGGAGCAAGAAGTCATGGGCAAACCAAGTGATGGGTTTACAAATGCAAGCACTTGGTTGAATTCTATTGGGTGTGGTATATTTTACTCAACTTGATAATCTCATAGCAGCTTTCCCCCCTAGCAAATGACATGGTTGAAATCAGAAGCCCAAAGGGACACTGACACTCCCAAGTATATGCCAATCCTATTAACAATTGACAAGATGAAGCTGAATCTTAGATGCCTTTTGACAAGCCAACAGATAAAGAAAATAAGACAGAAAGTCCATTGCCATCTATCACTCCACCAAAATGATGTGTGTAAAAGTCAGACAGCAAAAGAGAGAAAAGACCCTTGGTTTATGGGAGCTGAGGTTGGAGGAGCCAGGAAAATGGTAGTCAGTGGGTATTAAATTTCAATTATCCCAGATAGAAATCTTCCATGGTTCTAGTACTGAACTCCATGCTTAATGTCACTGATACAGGGGGACCACGCTGAACATTGAAAATTCTATTGATTATGTGGATTTTTCACTCAGAGATTTATCAAAATAAAATGACAGACACCAATGAATGATGATAGCACAAAGTTTATTAAAATTGCTCACTCCCAGAGACACATCTTACAAGTAACTAGGAAGAAGGAAATAGCACATAAAATCTGGGGTGACTCAGAAGAAAGTGCAGTTGAGAACATAACCGGTTAAATCAAGTTTCATGTTGAGGGTGGTGTTTTCATAACTTATTTGGTGAGAGATATAAAGATCCTGGCTCAGAATTTAGACTGATACCAGATCTTCACGTCAGCCCCACAAGAAGATGACAGAAGATCCGTATTATCTGGAGATGAGGAGAATGGGGGTAAGGGATTCGATCCTCAGGTTTCCTGGTGAGAACGTGAAGGGGGTCTGCAAATGTTAATGTGTGACTTTTACATCTTGGGCATGTCAACTCTCCTCAGAGCATGGCTGTGCAGGCAGGCGTTCCTTTGGGGTCAGAGGCAGCAGGGTTGGCAGCAGGGTGTGCTGCAGCAGATTGTTGTAAGGAGGCCACTAGTTAGTTCCCGGATGCTTAGCTCCGAAATAACCACACAGAAACTATGTTATTTAAAATACTGCTTGGCCCATTAGCTCTAGCTTCTTATTGGTTAATTTTTACATCTTAATTTAACCAATTTCTGTTAATCTGTGTATTGTCATGCAGCTGTGGTTTAACAGCTAAAGTTCCATCCGGCTCCATCGGGGCTTCTCCCTAACTCTGCCTCCTTTCTCCCAGCATGCCATTTAGTTTTCCCCGCGTACCTAAGTTCTGCCCTATCAACAGGCCAAGGCAGTTCCTTTATTTATCAATGATAATCACAGCATACAAAGGAAAATCCCACATCAGCAGATGTTCACACAGGCTGGTTTGCAACAAATGGTCTTTCAGCATGTGTTTTCACAGCAAGTGCTTTCACAGCATTTGGGAATGCAGCAGCAGGGCTGGCAGCAGGTGGGCACGCAGCAGGAGGGCTGGAAGCAGAGTATGCTGCAGCAACATGGGGGACAGCAAGGCTGACAGCAGATGGACTCAGGGCAGCTGGGGGCACAGCAGCAGGGCTGGCAGCAGGTTGGGACACAGCAACAGGGCTGGCAGTAGCAACTGGGGGCACAGCAGCAGGGCAGACAGCAACTGGGGACACAGCAGCAGGACTGGCAGCAGCAACTGGGGGCACAGCAGCAGGGCTGGCAGCAGAGTATGCTACAGCAACATGGGGGACAGCAAGGCTGACAGCAGATGGACTCAGGGCAGCTGGATTCACAGCAGCAGGGCTGGCAGCAGGTGGTCTTGCAGCAGGTGGTCTTGCAGCAGCATGGCTGATAGCAAGGTGGGCAGCAACAGAGGGCCATGGTATCAGGTGTGCAGGGTTTTACTCTGTTCACAGATGAGTTTTCAACAGTGTAGCAAGTTTTTCCAGTCACTGACTTTTATACCACAGATCTCTAATATTTGGGCCAATCAGAAAGACTCTTCTTCTTTGTTCACCATTTCCATATTTAATTTGTGTTCATGAGGAAGGAAATTCTCACCTCATGCTCTGAATCATTTGGAAGCATCCTTTTCTTCTCTGGGGATGGCTTACCTGAACTCTTTCCAGTAGCTCAGGTGCTCATCCTGTCATCTTTGTTGCAGCTCTAGTGGTCATCTGGGCTTTGGTGGCTCCTGCTCTATGGGAAG